ATTGAGGAGTCTTATGATCATATTAAAAACATTTTGTGTTTGTGTGCCATTATATTATTGATACCATCTGTGCTATGACATCATAGCATGTATCACTTTCCCTTCTTGTGTCCCTTTTCCTCCTGTGTTGATGTTGGTATGCTTCACCTGTAATATATATCACCTTCTCTATATTTTTTTAAAATATAGAGAAGGTGATATATATTACAGGTGAAGCATACCAACATCAACACAGGAGGAAAAGGGACACAAGAAAGGAAAGTGACACATGCTATGATGTCATAGCACAGATGGTATCAATAATATAATGGCACACAAACACAAAATGTTTTTAATATGATCATAAGACTCCTCAATTAATAAATTACTATTGCTGCTGCTGCTACTACTACTACACAGTGACATTGTGGCTTGTTATCGATTACTGATGACTGGGAATTTTCATCTTGCCCACAAAAATCCTTTTCTTTCTTCCTGTGCCATTTCTTGACTATTCCATATGAGCTGCTTCTCTATAGATTTTATTCTGAAATCACACTTCCTTGTTCACAGAATTTCCAAAAGAAATGGCTTTCATCCATATTCATATGTTTTCTCCACTAATTGTCTTACTCTTTTTATTTACGTACAGATAAAAAGCAATAGGGAGGAAAAGATGACTACCTGTATTATTGCCTATTATTCTAGTAAGAGGACTAAGTATCTCAATTATCATAATTTATTCATAGAAGACTCAGGCCTCCTTTTTTCATTTAGTAGCTGTAGGAATTATCTCCCCAGAAACCACTTCTACTGCAAATATTTAAAGAACAGCATTTGCTCTCTGTTGACATTTTATCTGGTTCTCATAAAGTTGTATCATTGCATGAAACCTTCAGTTTTATGGGTTTCCGTTTAGTGGACTTTGAACACAATAAGCCAAATCTGCTTTTTGTTGTTTGCTTTGGCACACCCCATGGGCCAGTTAGTGTGTGCATTAAATCCTATTCGGATTTAATGGATATTCTGCTTTAACATGTACTCTTTCTCCCATTCATCCATTAGATTTTAGGGCTATCAGATTATCTAGATTTCTACAGCCCAGATCTGCTAATCATTATTTATTTTTCTCCTTTTGCATCTTTACTTACTCACCCTTTACATGTATTTGCAATCTGGGCAATTTGAAATTATTCCAAGGGTTAATGTACTCTGTATGATCTGTAAAATGAGGGATTGCAGTATTGTTCCACCAGCGCTGTGGTGGTCCAGCTAATGCCGACAGGTTTTATACTGCCATCTGATGGTTAGTGACCCTATAAATTGTTTGTGTGAAACCTCACTGTTTACTTGTGTGCATATAGTTAATTAGTTTCTTATCAAACTTTAAGTTTAGATGATAAAAGTTGCATATGAACTGAGGTTTACATATCACACTAAACTATAGTTAATTTAAACAGGTTTTTGAATATGCTGCAGTAGCCAAGGTTATATATAATATTTTATTTTATTTATTTATTTATTTTAAAATAATTTTATTCAACCTTTTAAAACTTTAAAACAGCATTTCCAATCCTTACAGTGTTCCGATACCGATATTCATTTTATTTACAATTTTTTAAGTTTTATAATCTTTTATACCTTACATATTATACATATGTGTGTGTATGTACACACACATACATACATAATACCTTTAACTTTTAGCATTATTTGCTATATTTATGGGTATATACAGTTTTTCACTTTACTATTGTTCTTAGGTACTCTTTATGTATTAATTTTGTGTCTAATTTCTAGCCAATTGTACCACCTATTCCAGATCTTATAGTATTCTGCTTCATCTCTAATTCCATGGTTAATTTATCCTTTTCTGCACAGTCGAGCATCTTTTTTATTATCATTGCATTTGAAGGAATGTTGGCTGTGGTAATTCTGGCTGTGGTTATTATATGGAATATAATTAATTGATTTTTCTTGCTTAGGTTTCCTTTTATAATCCCCAATAGAAACATGGAGATTACTTTTTTAAAAAAAATATTTATTTTTATTTATTTGTATCCCATCTTTATTGTTTTTTTTAAAAGAATAATTGAAGACAATGAACATATTCAACATACTTTTCTCCTATTTTCTCCACAACAGCAACAGTGTCAGGTGAGTTGCGCAGAGAAAGAATGTCCTAAACTGGATTTCAGAAGGGACTTGAACTCATGGTCTCTCACTTTCTAGTCTGGTGCCTTAGCTACTAAGCCAAACTGGCTTGTTATATCATGATTTATTAGAGCTGCTTCAACTGTGTTTGCCAAAAATTGGGCCACCAATGGAGGACAGCCAGATTGTAGGGTTTTCTGTATCTCTTTGATGCCCTATTGCAGTCCTCTCGATTTTGGCAGCCTAGATCAGGTGGCTTTATTATTTACAAACCAGAGTGCCTATAACCATAATATACCATGTCAAAAAAAACAAATAGGCACACTGTTTCATGCAACATGGGAATCCAACCGCTGTTGCATTTTACCTTATGGGGGAAATAAGGAAAAGCAAGCAAACAGTTACCACAACCTCAATGATTTTGAGAAAAAGAGAATAAACTGCTATTTTTCAACAGGATTTTAAAAAACATTATTTTCCGTCACCATCAATAACAACAGAAAAACCTTACTCACATCTCCGTCCCTTGGGCAAGAATCTCAGGCTGTTTTCTGTGCTCAGGATTGAATCCTGAGGGAGCACTTGGGCTCATCTTTTATCCTCCTGATTGCCTAACCTCAGTTACACATTAGCTGTCCCCTCTGTTCTCTCACTGTGATGGACAATGTTCTGAGAAATGTGTTTTTCCATGTATTGGGAAAAAAGGGGGGGTCCCTTTCTTTCCCAAGGAGGAGAGCAAACATTGACTTAGGTGATCATTTCATCAGATTTCTGTCTGCTCTCCAGTCCTAGTCATTTCAGCATTCTACCTCCACTGTAGTAAAGGTGGCCTGAGAGCTCATTCTCCAACACAAACAACTATATTGGGACTCATAGGTAGTTCCATAAACAGTAGTTCCTGCAGGACAATTTTTGTACATTATAAGCAGGGAAAGAAACAGAAAAAGACATGAGTATGAATGATAGGTATAGATATTGACAGTAACATATTTATCTTAAATGAAATTGAGAAAACAGTACTACATCCTTTGAGGTATTACCTGTATAGTGGAGAAACCTGAGAACAATAGCAATAGCAATAGCAGTTAGACTTATATACCGCTTCATAGGGCTTTCAGCCCTCTCTAAGC